AATGTACCGTGGCGATGCAATCTAGCCCAGAAAGTCAGTAGCGGATCGTGAGACTGGTCTGACGTCTTAATTGTAGTGTAATGCTCGTTGCGTTAATGGTGTGAATGAACTGTGTTTTTCAATTACGGCCAGATCAAAGGAAGCAACGAACTACACGTATTTTTCTTTTCGTCCTTTTTTAATCCTGCGATTCTCTTACGGACCAACTCACGATTTCAGTCGTTTTTCACAAAACGTGCGCGTACCGAGTCGTTTACTTAATTCCGCAAGGTAGCAAACGAATTGAGAAATTAAACGATCTCGGTAAACCGAGATTTATAAAAGCGATAAAAAAGGGCCGCGATCCGAAGGTCGTGGAAGCAGCGATTATCATTTCCTCGTTTACCACTATATCGTTCGTTCTCTCACGGATAAGGGCGTTCTGCTGTCTCGTCTCGCGATCGAAACTTAAATCGTCGAGGTGTCGATCGTTTTTTCCAGTCGTGGCGCCCCGAAGACCTTGACGAGCGGCGCGTATATGCTTTCTTACGCTTCTTCTTCTACTTCCTCGGCTCGTGTTTCGAGAGAGTTACACGCAAGAATGCAGCACGATCGGCAACGGACTAGGCCGGCGTTACATCTCTCGCTTCGTAACGATCGCCGGATGTGGTCAGCCAATGTTTAATCGGTACGGATGGAAAAATCCCTTCCGTGAGAAAGTATCTTCTCGGTTCGTACGATCGCACACTTATCCGCCTTTTTCCTTCCGTTCGAGGCAACGACAGAGGCTGTTCGCGCGATCGAGATCCCGAAAAGAAGTTGTTTTTCCTTCGGCTATTATCTATTGAAAGAACTGATTTTTCACGGACGAAAAGATCGAAAAACGAGGCCGATTCCCAACTGTTGCACCAACGATACCCGCAGAGCCGACTCTTCTTTATTCGGTCACGATCTTCTCCCTCCGGTAATCGTCTCTCCTCCCTTTCCACCCCTCGGTACTACTCGGATTACCGACGATAAGTATCGGAGCGCATTGGCGTCCGCCGAAATTACGCTCGCCGCAGCTCCCGGCAAGTGGTAAGGCGTTTTGATATTCCGCGGCGATAACGCGAGCGCTTCGAGTCGTCGCTTCGTTATTAAATTTTCCCTCACGGATCCGATGAGGCCTGGCTTTGGTTCGGTGCTCGCCTGCTTCTGTTCACCCAAGGAGAAATTCATTCGGCGCAACGAAATCTTGATGCGTAGTCGGAACGAATTTTCGAAGTGGCGCGCGCCGTTTCTTCTTCGCCGCCCCGGCTCCAGCCCCGGGCTGTGAGACCAACTCGATGAATCGACTCGACGAGGACACGCTGCAGGTCTTTCGACAACGAACAGCGATCGAAAATTTACAAATCGATTTAACATTGCGAAATTAAACGAACCTTACAAAGTTTCGAAACCATAGTTACCACGGTAGTGAATTCGAGTAATCTCACCAGTCGTTTCAGTTTTATCGGTTGAATTTCTTGTATCGTCTTCGGTCGATTCTTCGAGGATTAAGTTCGACGGCGTTCCGCGTATTGAAAACGGGTAAGACGCCTCCGCGGGAGAAGTTACTGTATCGCTAATCTGTTTAAATAACGAAACATCCCTCGAGAAGGAGCACAGGCGAGGGAAACGCTAGCAAACGGAACCCATTGAAAGAGGGAAGCGACTGCCGTTGAAAGAGGAGCGGGTAAACGAAAATCAATGCATCCAACACGAAAGCGAACAACGTCCTTTCGTCTACCTAATGAAATGTACAACGCTCCGCTGAGAAACTACCCCCGTCGCGAACAGTGCAGAAGGTTCGGCCGGGCATCGCTTCGGTTAAGTTGCTGCTTCTTTCGCTACCGGACTCCTCGTTGCGAAACTTGAAAAGTTTCACCCTTTACGCTGCGATCACTTTTCGCCCGACGTCTTTCAGTCGAGGTCGAGATAACTTTTACAAACCGTGGAACGATTAACTACTTTTATCCTTCTTTGTGCTCGACGCGTAACTCGCGCTAGTAACAAGGTGTGCTCTCGTTACGGTTTTTATTCGTTCTTCTCGACTGTCGTTAGGCTGCTGAAAAGTTAAAAATCGTTATCGAATTCCCTTGGCCAAGGTCCCACATATGATCGAATCGAGCGAACAGCGCGGAACAGGGGGTAGGGGAAAGAGCGTTGATCGTTTTTGGCGAACGAGTCGAGTCTCGGAACCAAGTCGATTCTCTAATACAAATTCATGAACGGGCAGCCGTTTACCCTCCATTAGAGGGAAGCGCAATCAAAACGGACCCGATAGAGAACGTCGGGATCGGACCAGCTGTAAATCAAACTACGAAATTCCTCGTGTCCGGTTTCGCGGTGTCTACGGATCACGGGGCACCCTGGAAAGTGTTGAGCTTCGCCTCTCTCGGTTTCTCCCTACGCAAGGGTGTAATTATGGACCAAGACCCACCACCCTCCTTTCTTCTTCGCGCATTCTATCGAATCTTCCGTTCCTTCGCTCCTGCTCAAAAACTGATCGAACAACGAAGAAACGAATCGAATGTACAAAAGATGCAGTTATTAAGAATTGTTTGGCTCTCTTTTAATCTTCTCGTTTCGCAGAAAAGTATACAGAGCGTACTACGATTCGATGTCTCGAAATTGAAATTTCTTCGTGCGTCGAACGGTTTTCCTGTTGTTCGGGCAACGGTTTCGTTCGCTGGCCAACAAACTGGAATTTTTTGCTTTGTATTTCTTTGGACACGGAGAATTCGGTCGTTAAAGCGGGAACTCGCGCGCGGGCAAAAGCGCAGCGGCAGTTAACCGGTCGAAAAACCGCGTTTGGTTTCTCTCGGGGCGTAATTATAATTGCAAATTTTTATCCGGCAGTTTTACACGGCGTCGTTACGTTTCTTCGCCGCGACGAAAGTTTCGCCGCGAAATCTTCCTGCGGCTGTTTTTTTGCGGCGACGTTACCCGATTGGTTCGCGAGGGACGCACTTTCGTAAAATCGTTTAGCATAATTCGTCTTCCCCGTAAAAATCACTTGTTTTGCTCGAGTTCGGCCGTGTTCTCGTTAGCCACGCTGACATCTCGACGAGAGGGCAAGACAGGGGTCGACGGTGAAAAAATGTCGCGAAACGTCCCACGGGATTCTCGTTTCCCCTCGGTTCGCGAAAATCTCTGGCAACGCGTAAACTCGACGACCTTAGGCCCGTTCGCGATGTTTGCGCTTCGAATTCGGACGTCGAACGAAACGTAGAAGGAAGAGCCACGGTGTTTTTTTTTCTCGGTAATTTAAAAGGAACTCGTACGGCTCGTTAGTTCGCGAGGAAAAGTAACTCGACTCGTAAAGAGAGCGTCGCGCTCGTCGCGATTCTAATTAGAAGGAATTTCGTCGTCGTTTCAGAGCCGAATTAAGCTAATCGGCCACGACGAACGAGGGTCTATCTCGCCTCGGCTGGATACGCGTGCGCGGAAACGGATGAAAGAGACGAGTCGAGAAAAAAGTAGAAAGGGAAGTCAGAGGGTGAGAAAGGAAACGACCCCTCGTAGCCAAGAAAAAAGTAAAGATCCCGAAATTAGTCGTACTCGCGGCGAAGATCATTAGGGTGCGTTTAGATTAAACGAGCAAGAATATCAGCCATTCGGCTGTACGCGAATCGAATGACGATGAATCGTACATTGTCGAATTGATTCGTATCCAATCGAGTTACATCGAATTTAATCGCAGCGAATCGAGTTGCGTCGAACCGAGCTCGCTTATGTTCGAAGCTTAGCGAAGCGAAGACTTGCTCGGTGTAAACGTACCTTGCGAAATAGCTCGAGGGCCCGCTCGCGCTCTCTTCCCGTTTTATTCGATAATTATGCAAATGCCCGAATGATTGTCGGGCAATATGTCCTCGGAATAAAAGTCGAGTCGGAGAGATTCGGTTATCTTTATGATTCTGAAACGCGAAAGGAACAACGACCGAGGTTGGGGCGAACGAGGGTGAAAGAACGGGGCCGTGACGAAGGGAAGAAAGTAAAGCGGCGTCGAAAAGATCTCGGCGACATCGGGAGGTCCTCGCGTACACCGGCATCGAGAGGAGAGAAGCGTTTAATTTGCATCGAAACGCGCGTTTCCCTTTTTTTCTGGCTGCTTAAGTCGCGGAAGATCGTTCTTCGACTTTTGTGCCGGGTCGTCGACGAAACGCGAGCTCTTTCGAAGAGAAGTCAGCGCGGATCGGACGCGTGGCTACGTTTTCCCGCGTTACGTGACTAGGCTCGAGATCGTCGCGTTGCCTCGCGTCGCAGCCAGGATCTATTAAGACGTTCGCTCGGCGATTTAATTAAGTGGCTACCGGTCGACCCTGGCAGACCGCGGAACCATGAGCCGGATCGTCGTAATTTATTATTAAAATATATTCCCTGTCGAAAGGGTGGAGCCTGGTTCGACCAATGGGCACGCGTCGCGTGCCTAGAGTCGTTAGGGCGGTTGGAAATTGATAAGAATGCATCGTCGCTCGACGCCGACGGTGCGGCCTTTAATCAGCTCGTGGCGAGTTGCGAAACCGTGCTTCTACATCGACTCGGCGCGACGGGGAACGAATCTATCCCCCAGAATCCGGTAATCGTAACGTGTATGCCTCGCTCCACTCTGCGTCTTCGACTTCCTTTTTTCCTTACTTTATATCCGCTTAATGCAAAAGTGCTCGCACTTTTCCTTCTTCTCCGTCGAGCCATCGGAAGACAGTATTTACTTGGACTTGATCGCTGTTGATAATATGATTGGCATCAAGGGAGTATAGAAATGGACACCAGAAGCTTTACAATAACAACTATTTATTTATAGGTAATAATGCTGAATTACAATGAATACACTTTTTGCCTCGATACTAGATTGTATAAGTCCGATCGCGAAATCGTAATCGCTCGTCGTCATCGTGTTACTCGGTAGTCTGGCGATACTGCATTTCCCCACCCGACCCCCCGCCCTGTAAATTTCTTTTCCCCTGTACGCAACCCACCCCTCTGACCCACCCCTGGTTTTATCCTGCATTTTCTCGAATCGCGTTCACGCGAGTTTTACCCGGCTCGTCGAAGCAAGAATCGTCGAACCGTTCCTTGATCCTTCGCGTTCAAAGACCTCGCGTCGTCGACGATTCTCGATTAGACGAGTATTGACCCCGTTCGATTGGTAATGTGTGGCGATGGCAAATACAGATGAGCTATCGGTGGTTAAATTCTTCGTTTCACTACGTGTAGCATCGTCTTAACGGGCATTAGCCGGTACGTACGATCTAGACACTATGATTATGTGAACTTTACAACACAAGAACCTTACGGGCAAAAGACTTTGTACATGGATCTTAAATACGACGATCGACCTCGGTAAAATGTCTGTCGTCGATAATATTTAGCGCGCATCTTCTACGAGGTTCGCGTACGCCTCGTTTCGATCGTGAAACACATTTCGCCGAGTTCGATCGATCAACGCAAACGCGGGACACACGCAATACGCATTAGCCTTACTTGTCGACGGTAGTAACTAAGTTTATTTATATATAAATAAGGTTGTTACGGTTTAAAACGCATCGGAGAATCCTCTGCTGTTTCTCTCTCTCTCTCTCTCACACACTCTCTCTCACGCTCTCTTCTTCTCGCTTTCGTTCATCTTTTATTTTTTTTTTCTACTCGACACGTGATCAGGTTCGAATACCCTTCGTTCACGTTTACGTTTTCAAAAGCTCCGTCTTCTCGCACATTTTTCGTCGTCCCTCTTCCTCAGCCCTTTCGTATAATACAGAAAATCGAGAGATTAAAGCACGATTCGAACGCAAATTCGGTCGATCGCGACTCGCGTTTTGCCCGCGAACGATCTGGTCGCGCGGCGCGCTGCCTCGGCGAAATAATATTAATAATAATGATAATAATACTCGAGAAACCGGGGTGACGAGGCGCGACCGATCGTCTCGCGGCCAGCTTAACACGATTAATTAATTCGAGAGTCGTTCGATAATTAGGAGATAGATACCTCTAGGAACGCATGCACGAGCGCACGCACTCTCTTTGCAGTCTTTGAAAGTTATTTAATCCCTCGTTTCGCGGTTACCTGGCCTTCTCGAGCTAAACTTCCCGCCCGTTTTTCGAAACGAGCGAGTCGCGCGGTTTCGACAGTTTCCGGCTCTAATCGGTGCATCCTCGGACACGTGGTACGCGTCGCGCGTATATAAAGGGATTCACCGGGCACGAACGCGCTCATTCGCCGACGACGTTCCCATTTCGAACGTCCATCTCGCTGATATGTGTGTTTCCATCGATTCGACCGTGGCGCGGGTCGAAAGCGACACTCTACCGAGAAAATCGGTCCCCGTCGAGGAACGTTCGCGGATCATTTCCGTCTCGTCGCGCACGTTGTACGAAAACTACGTTCGATCGTTCGTTTCACTCGCACAAGATTACGACGAGCGTTCGCTCTCCGTTCGCTCGCGTTCGTTTCTTTCCTCTTCCTCGATCGATCGTCACTCGTTTTGGCTCGTTAAGCGGTCAGCTCCTCTTCTAGCATCGTCCAGCCTCTTCTAGGTCGCGCTCGTAAAGAGAACCGAGTTCTTGTAGTAACCCGCTCGGGATTCTGAAACAGAAGCGGGTCAAGAGCGGTTGTCCGTGGTCCTGGTGGATCTTAGTCCGTTCGGTAACGCGCGTTTCTCTTTTTGCCCGTTGCTCGATCGACGTCGAAATCGAAAACGCGATCTGGACGGCGACGGTGATTCGAGAAGAAGGTGCAGAAGAAGAAGAACGAGCTGCAGGAGAAGACGAAGAAGCGGTAGAAGAAGAAGACGAAGAAGAAGAAGAAAAGAGAAGACCAGGCGAATGATTCGATGATCGTTCGCTTGGAAGCGGCGCCGCTCACTAATTATCCTTGCCTCTCGAGACGTAGATGAACGCGAAAGGGACGAGAGCTAGCGAAGACATTCGGGATGGAGAAAGAGAGAGCGAGGATGGGCTCGTATCGGGCGCGTTCGTAAATACGAGAGACCGGTCGACTCATCGGCCCTTAGGGGCCCTTTGTGATCGAGCCGCCACTCGCCACTTTTTATCGAACTGTCGCTTATGATTGAAAATCACTACGCGTTTTTAATAGTCCAGCGGATTCGATTTACTCCGTTTCTTCGGTTACGCTCCTCCGCTCCCATCCTCTTCCCTGCATTCTTCCACCTCCGTTTTCTAGAGCAAAGAACGATTCTAATTTAGCGCGTCCCCGTAAAAGCGTGTCGAAAGGGACTTTTCACGGGATACGAAACTCGCGAGAATTTCGACGAAACGACCGTACCGGCAAAAGGAGGTGTGCTTTCGACAGGGTTGTTCGTCATCGCGTCCGTCGGTAACTCTAGCTGCTATCCATAAATTCACCGACGTAACTGTTTAGTTGTGGTTGATACATATTCTCCGTTTTAAGTACACTTTGACTCTGGGACACGATCGTTTCTAAAAAAGGAAAAAAAAAAAGAAAAATGGGATATCGGCAACGAAAAGTTATCGTCAGCCACGACGACGAGGTAGTCCTACCGAAAACACACCTAAAGGGAGGAGAGGAACAGTGGAAGCCGATTCCACGGCTAACAGTTGACTTTAGCGAAGCCGCGGCCAATTAAAGGAGCACTCGTTAAGCGATTGGCCGGTCGGGGTGGATCCTGGACGCGATAGAAAAACGATTATTTACGTGCAGCGTCACGACGGGACCTGTGGAGAACGTTGAAATCACGTGGCACGGGTGTAGGAGCTTTTTGCCGAGGCCTCGAAACTTTCGACGAGTTTCCGTGGCCAAGTTTCTCGAAAGCTGGTGGCGCGTCGTGTGCCGGTGACGCCGCTGCACCGCAAGAAACACCCCACCGAACGCGACCACCTTCGCGGGATTTTCTAATTAAAGATTCCGAAGAAGTTTATTCCTCGACGCGCAAGAAATATCCTAAGCGCGAATCGAGGCGATCTCGAGGAAGCTGGGTAATCGTTGACTCGAATTTCCTTCTCTTCGGGCTTCTCGAAACTTTTGCACGCGAGTAAGATCGAGCTACGCGGACACGTTCGACGAATCGTTGAACCCACCTTGAAGAGGCGACTTGACTTGGTCCCTCTCGGCCGCTTGATGCTGCCGTGATTTTCTCTCCAGTTCGAGTTCTTGCACCAGCGACTCTGCGACAACAAAACAGACAGAAGATTCATTGGTTGATGATAAGCGCGGAAAGACGAGGCATCTATATAGAATAACGTCGTCTTGGCGTCGATTTCGACGAGGCGTGAAACCAAACGCGCGAACGATGAAACGGAGCGGTAATTAGTGGAAAAGCAGGCAGCGCGAACTGCGAGACAGGGGAAAGGAGATGTAGAAGGGACGAGACAGGGATAACGGACGAAGGCAGGCGTGAAAGGGACGCAGGTTTGCTCACTGAATTCCGCAAGGATTAGGGTGAAAACTGGAAAATGTCCCTTTAATGATATCGCGCCGAATTAACCGTGGGCGAGCCTTCTCGTTTCGGTCTACTTCGTTAAGTCCACGAAACGACGCGACGTCCCTTCGAACGGGTTCGCGTCCTCGGCTCTATCTCGACCTATCTTGCTCGCAAAAATTTTTCCCCGATGTCCTAAACGCGAAAGTGTCGCCGATAATTACCGTTTTCGCACACGGAAATTCCCTAACTAGACACGTCGTTCACGATGTCTACTTTTAGGCTACGTACTCGTTCGAACGTCGACGTCGCATGTTCTTATTTCTTGCGAAAATTCTTGCGAAATTATCCTAACGAAAATATATGCACATGTATGTATAAGTTTTCGCCATAAAAATATTAACTGTCCGTTATTAGCACGATCGCTATTAACGCTCGCTTAGAAAGGTGCTACAGAATATGCGTAGACACCGTATAATCAAAGATTGATTCCATTTTTTGAATAAAATGATGGAACTTATAATTAAACGTCCCATTCGAACGTAATACTAATCTTCCGTGTCACGTTGGACTTTAAAACTATTTTCATCTCCGTTTTAGAGGCGTACAAATTGAAAATTCATGATCGACGTAGAATCGTGACAGTGGTCTTTCCATCAGCGATCACAGAGGCAGGTTTAAACTATGTCGGTAGCGAACGGTGATCGATTATTTATCGAATCACCAATGATCCCGATAAATCCGCGAGGTCGCGTCGGGTCTTCCGAACGGCGAGTCGAAACTAACCCCGGAGCTAGATCCTGGGATCGAGAGGATTAATCGCGCGTATCGCGCGACGCTGCGAGGAAAGGGGATATTCGACGCGAACGTAATCGGTGAGCGTGAAATGGCGCCTCCTTGGGCAACGAGCAATGGTAAAATCCAATTGCGAGGCCATTAAATCCCAGTTAACCGGCGTAAGACCGAGCGAGAGAACTCGGCGTCGCGTCCCGGCGCGGCGCGGCGCGGCGGTTCGCGCGGCACCGAGAAACGTCGGGGCCGAGATTCCATTATGCTTTGAGCAACAATAGCTGAGGGCTGTTTCGTGGGTGTGAATTCGTGCGTTCGTCAGGGCTGTTATATTCCACGGGACTCTGGGCCAACTAACAGCCAGACCCGAGCGGTGTTTGCGTTTCGCTCAGCCAAATTACCTCTGGCGCCCTTATCCGCGCGCGGGGCGTTTCGTCCCTTTGATATCCAAATGACAATTTAACTGCACAAGATACGCCGCCCGCTTCGAGATTGAGAGAGGGTCCCGAACGAACGTTTCCTCGTTGCTTGCCCCAATTCGTCGACCGACTAGGGATCGAACGGTACCGCCAAAGTATCGAAACTTTCATCGATTTCTAGTAGCGACAAGCTTGATACGATACGTATATGCACGGCACTCGCAGGAAGAAGGTATCAAAGATTCATGGGTATATCGAATTTACAAATTCGTCGGTTTGAACGTTTAAGCTCCAAAAACTTGGGATATCGATTTATTCTCGAACAATGTTCGATCGAATTCCTTTGCCTCGTGGAAAGGAGTAGCAGAAGAAGAAGGAGAAGAAGAAGAAGAAGAAGAAGAAGTAGAAGAAGAGGAAGAAGAAGAAGGAGAAGAAGGTTTGGTAAATGCAGCGTAGAAACGCCGCTTCGAAGGAGGCACGTACGTCCGTGGATCGACCGACTAATAGTTTTGCTACCGTATTACACACCCTGACAAATCGCGCGAACAATGAAAACAATTTCAGACGGTGTCGGACGAGCGTACGGCCGTCTTCTCGGGCCTAAACGGGGCCGGTATTGTGCTCGTCCCGGGCCCCGATTTTTTCGGCTGTTGACTTCGCCCAGAGGCCCCGAGACTTCGTTGAAAGGAGAGCCTCGAACTGTATCCGGTATGACTGTGCGTTTATCCGCACGTAATTAACTGGCGCACAATGCATCGCGAGAAGGCCAACTCGCTTCACGGGAGGAGACGAAGAAAAGGAATCGAAGCGGACTAGGTGGGAGCGAGGATAAAAAGAAAGTAAGAATAACAGGAACGCTTCTCGAAAATCTTCGTATTGTGGCCGCGATCTGGAATCTCGTTGTTACGCCATGCCACGCCGCTTCGATCGATCGATGTTTTTTGCTCGAGCCATCCGCTATCTTCCAGCGATTCTTCGTCGTCGCGGCGCACGATAGATGCACACATTGTACCCACCTTAAGGATTTCAGGAAAATCATAACGTTGCGAACCGAACTGTGCCTGAAGCGTAACGAAATATTTGACTTTAGCGCGTTGCGAAATCGGTAAAGACGGAAGATGGTTCACCGTGTACGATCAGCGGACGAAAAATTGTTCGCGAGCGATCACGCCGCAGCGAGAGAGTGTCGGGTTATTAGGCTGCCGTGTAATAAGTAATTTCAGAGACGGGGAGGGTATCGTGACCTCGGTTCGTCGAAAAACAAACGTCGCAGCGGGTTCGACGATCCTCTCGCGCGAGCATCGAAGAATCTCGCGTCCCGACCACGGTAATTGGTCGAGCGGATCGAGTCGAGGGTTAGCGAAGTCGAAGAGAAAAAGAGTGGATA